TTGAAGCAATAAAGAGGAGGTGGAGTTAACACATTGCAAAATTATCCCTCAAATACTTACATGAGGGGACTCACTTTTGTCTCACCTGAGTAAAGCAAAGGCCAATGACAGTTTTCTTAAAGGTCAATATGTATAAGGAGGGGAAATGAAGAAAAGTAGGATTTTTCTCTAAATATCACTGTTAAAGAAATCATTCAAGAAGTTTCACCAAAATGAACTGATGGGAAGAAAAGGAAGGCAGAAAAGTTAGCAAACTTATGAAGGTTACAGTAAGAGCAGAAAAGAGTCAATTTACCTGACAACAGGTCGGTTTTGGATGTCACCAAACTGCTGCGTTTACCATTTTACCCGCTTGCATTACTGGGGGGAAAAGTTTAGGAAGGAACATTCTCAAGGACTTTTCATAAGTTCTCACTCTCGCCATCGGAAAGGGGAGAAGGGAAGGTTTTCTCTGGATTGTTTGACTTTTTTGGCTCCTGAAAAGTTTTGCAAAGAACAGTAACAAAGTGTGAACTGTTAGAACACATTTCTGTAAAAAAAGGGAAAATAAGTCACACAAAATAGAGCAACAACAAATCCCACCCAAAATCCGTGCATCTAGTTCGTGTCATTGGTTTAAACAAATAAATGAAACAAAAACTTCTCAACTCAAATTTGGAATTTGAGAGGCTTGGAGACTTCCAACAGCAGGCCAAGATCAACCATCAGAATGCTCCAAAAGGCACCCTCAGAGGTTAAAAAAGACTTAAAGAAATAAAACAAAGGAAAAGGCAGCAAACATCTGGTTATAAACCTTGCAGTGTTCAGTTTAAAGCAATTCCTAGAACAGTGAAAAAATTAAAAAGGAAAAGACAGTAGCAACAGAAGTTACCTGTCCGAGCACCTACTATTCCATAGAGAGAACAGGAGTGGGTCGTGTGTCTCACACCAGCCATAAAGCCCATAAACCTTCTCAAAAAGAGTGAGCCATGAGAAAGACACTGGACATGCAATTTGTTTTCAAAGTCCCTCTAAGCCCTTAAGGTCCCTGATGTATTTAACTGGCAGATTTTTGCAATAAGGGGGAGAAAAGATTTAGCAAGCGTCACTGGTTTCTTTTGTTGGATTTTGAAGTCCATTATAACATCTGTAGATGTATCTCCTTTGTGTTGGACATACACAGATGTTCCAGAGGTTATTTCCTGAGTAAGTATCACACATGAAAGATAGCACACCAAGTGGGAGAAAACGCTTCAGGAGTGACCATCAGCTCAGAACAAAAAAAAAGTTAACAGTCCACATGTGCATCAATCATTGACACTGTGTTACTGACGAAGTGTTGTAACATTCCAACAGAATATTTTATAAAACACATTAAAGCATTAAATACAAGGCTTAAGATACAATCTGTACATTGGCATAGCAAGACATCAATTATAAACACAGTAAATTGAACAGAAGAAAATCTCCAGTGTTACAAAGAACAAAATTTCATAAGATGTTTAAGAAACTTATTCTTGCCAACAAGAGTTTCTACCTGGCTCTTTCAAACATTAGAATATACAAAAACAGTTGTATCACCACCTGTTATATTAACACTATTGTAATCCAGCACTACTTTGACCATTTTTTCAGCACGTGCTTTCAAACCTATGTACGGAAGTACTGTTAGTGCAACTGTAGAGAGGTTTAGCATGTGTTTTTCACCACGTGGAACTGAAGGAAACACAGTGTATAAAGCTCACGTCTGTAAAGTTCACCTTCCATGGGAGGAAGACACTGCCTCGTTACCACAGGCTGGATTTGTTGACGTTTGTTTTTCTTTAGGTATAAAAACAAGACACCCCCCTCACACCCCCAGCCCGTTCTACACGTTTCACTATTTCAGGAGTGATGGATAAGTAGGGATTAAACACACAATGTGCCCATTTGTACCAATGAACCCTCAAAGCAAGGTTTTCACATGCAGCATCGATACCCAACGCCCAAACAAATGTGCATCATGTTTCAAATCCTGTCTCCCTCCCTCACCACTACACATAGACTTATCTCCAAGCTAGCAATGGAAGCACCAAACACAGAGGAGCATCTTATCCCAAGGGAGCCAAACTGTAAATCTCTCCATCCACTGTTTGTCTTTCAAAAAAAAAAAAACAAAAATATCTCATGTTTACTTCACAGATTTTACTACTGTGAGGTGTAACCTGGACATTCTGAAAGTGTGATAGAAATGTAAAGTTCCTGTGAGCCATAGCATTTCTCTGCAAAATACTAAGGAGACTCAAAAAGCATTCCAGAATGTTCAGTTACCAGGCTCTTTCCTTTAAAAGATGTTTCCTGTGATAGAAATACAGAGGTCCTACTGTACCCACTAGCACATGTTTACTCCCTGCTGTTATTCCACATGTGCTCAATGTGGGCCACAGTTGAAAAGGGAAAGACTGACCCTATCAGCCTCTCAAAGAGTTCAGTCACCTAAGAAAAAAACAAAAAGGAAAAGAAAAGAAAAAAAACTAAACCACCACAAGCACACACCACCCAAATTCCCCTTAGATAAACAAGCAGGGGGAGATGAGCCTCTGGAAGAGACTAGAAAATTAGGTTTTCTTTCATGTTTTGTGTTTCTGCAACTCTTCACGGAAGTTAAAGACCTTTATATTCTTCAGGCATAACCTGTGCACTTGAAGGCTCAGGAAGAAAAGATTTGAGAATACCTTTACTACTGAAGCTCCTTTTGTTGCTGGACCAGACGGTCCATTCTCCTGCTTAACACCAACAGTCAATCTTTCACTTGATTTTAATAATAATATTTAATTCTACAAAAAAAAAAAAAAGCCATTTTATTACATTCCTTTTAAAATAAAAAAAAAAAATAAAACCAAACTGTACAAAGAAGCATGATCAAACCTCCATAAAGCAGGTTAATACTGTTCTGTTTATTGCCTCTTGAAGACTCTCTGCATAGTGTCCGTGAGTTGTGTTTAAGGTCCAAGTGAAGATAAAACAGCAGAGCAGCAGAGAGGTGAGGAGGGGCCACAGAGGTGGGCAGTGCAGAGCCTCAGAGGGTACACGGGACATGCTCCAATAAAGTATCCAGAAAAACAGCAGCATTGCACACACACAATCCCCCCTCCAAACAAACCCTATTTTCACAAGATTATTTTTCAATTGTAAACGTTTTACCTTTTTAAAAAAAGAGGCTTTTTTATATATATCTCTCTATATATAGTTCCAGGGCTTTACGAACCCAGAGAATGAGAAAGGAATGAAAAGGGAGGAAAGGAGAAAGACGAGGAAAAGGAGGGGGAAGACAGGGACTGAAAAATGGACTCAGTATCTGTTTTGGTTATCTGTTTTCCAAAACAGCTCAAGGCTGATGAGAAAATGCACAGCCAGAAGGACTAAGGAAAATCAGACAGCCTGGAAAAAATTGAGGAGCTAAACAGCCAAAACCCAAAAAGAAATAAAGCAAAGCAAATGCACACACACAAACACACACAAGTGTGTGTGCTCACGCCACACACACATAAGGGTCCAGGATCAATTTGTTAATTGTTTGTGGACCTAGGTTATTTTTTGTTTTATTTTTAATTCTGGCTGAGCTCTCATATTTTTTCTTTTTCTTTTTTTTTTTTTTTTTCCTTTTTTCTTTTTTGTAATTTTTCTTTCTTAAATCTGTTGCATGTTTCCCAAAGCTAAGCATTGGGTATTTCTCCCCTCTTTGGATTTCTGCCAACATCAGCTTTTACGTTCAGTGGGGAAATAGTAAGCCTGGTAAGTATTGTATGAACTGCAGCTTTATTCTAAAATACCCTAGATGTCTAATCATTTTTAACCAACTTTTCCCTCCTCCACGCCTTACCATGTTTCCCCCCCCCGACCAAAAAAAAGCAAAAAATAAAAACAAACCAAAAAAAAAACCCCAACACCAATGTACAGGCTTTAACTCGGTGTTTTCTTAACAAACAGTCTGCAGTGTTTTCACTTTGGCCACTGTTAAAGATGCAGGCATAGAGAAGGGAGTGTTGGACTAGCATGTATTAAAAAAAAAAAAAAAAGAACATTAACATTGCAGATCTCTCTCAAAAAGACTAAAACACTAACAAATACAAGTCGATGCACGTTTGCTTTAAACTAGTTAATTCTTTTTCACATTGGATTAAACATTATTTTGTATACCAAACATTACAGTGCTGTTTATCTTCTCCAATCACGCAAAAAATAGTCAAAACGTGCCACTTCTGCCACAAATAGGATATGACCAATTCCCCTACATACCTTACAGAATCAGCTTTTGAAATGAGAAAAGCGCAAGTGGTAAATCCTCCTTCAGAAGTTTTATAAAGAAATAGAGACACAAAGCTGTCAGTTAATACCAAGATGGCACAAATTACAGATTTTATACAGAAAGCTCACATTAAGTCAACCGACACTTCTCTCAGCCTCATCATTTGAAAGGCTGTATCCTGCAAGATCAGAAAGTGATGGCTTTAAAAGGATCCTGAACTTACTCCCATCTACAAGCGCAGTAACAGTAGGTGTCCAGAAACTTTGAAATGCCTGGTATTTAACATCTTCAACTCAAATTGAGAATTTGAGGCACTCAGCAATTTACAGGATCAAGCGTCACAGAGGTAGAAGAGACTTAACCGGTGCAGTAATTCACAGAAGTTTCTAGAGAGCTGCCAGACAGCTTTCTGAAAACCTTCAAGCACGAATCACGCACCAATGCTTTCCTGTGAACAGACATGAACTGCGATACATCCAAATAAAATTCCCACTTGGTTCGTGAACTGAGCATCTGCATTAAAAAAAACGATGCCGAAGAACGAACACAATTTTATGTTCTGCAAAAACACAGGGGCAGCAATCACAGCACGCGTGCCTTTTACTCTGCTCCCTGGCTCGACACTCCCCCCCCCGCCCCTTTCCCCGCTCCTCTGAGTTTCTCTGATAAACAGCATTGCAAGTTGGTTGGATTTTTTTTTAAAAAAAAAGAAAAAAAAAAAAAAAAAAAAAAAAAAGAAAAAAATGTACAAGAGAGAGTTCTGTTGGTCATCTATTTACAGGTGGCATCACTCCACAAGAAGTTTGATCTCATTGGCTAATAGCTGGTTCATGTTGAATAGAGCCCCCGGGAGCTTGGTGAGCAACTCTCTCTCGGTGGTCTCAGGGTCGCTGTCGACAGAGCTGGAGCTAGCACTCATATTGTCGACAGCGGCACTAGCTGGAGGGCCCAGCTCTGGCTCGCTAGTCTCGCTGGCCGTGGACACCACAGAGAGCAAGGACATGCGCCGCGTCAAGCGACCGGGGGTAAGGAGAGAAGCGGCATAGTCCGCTATGATACCAGCTACATCTAGATTACAAGCCTTGTCAAAGGCAATGAAACCTACATTTGCGTTGGCCTCGCAGACGTAGAACGAACCGTCGTCCTTCATCAGCAGGTCAATGCCGCACACGTCCATCCCCAGGATGTTTGACACCTGGACGGCCAACTGCTTGCCTTGTTCACTCAGTGAGCACATCATCCCTACACCACCTGGAAAAAGTGGGGAAAAAAAAAAAAAATTGCTGTCTGTAGTCTGGTCACAGGTGACTTGACATCCTTCTCAACTGGTGAGTGCTTTTTGGCTGGGAAGCTCCATCTGCTGATGACTCAGAAAGCAACCTCCTTTCCACAGTGACTACTAATGATCTTGAAGCCACAGCAGGATTTCAAAAGATTCTGACCTGCCAAAGGCAGGTCAAGATAATGACTTGCTTAAAAAACAGTTAAGTGCTGACTTTTTAATCAAGAAAGACATCACAGACTTTTATGACCTTGGGATACTAAAAAGATGACCTAACAAACCACCCTTGTTCCTTCCTAGGTTTTCATACGTATTTTTAAGTTATCACAAGAAATCTTTCAGCAAAATTAAACCAAATGTTCCTGATAAGACTACAGCTCTAACAGATATAATTGAGGGGGAAGGGGGCTAAGACATTATCATCTACTCTTGTCCCTCTCAGCTTGCTACCATAGGTTACTCTCTAAAGCAAGAATTAGGGAACATCTGTGTCTGAACTTCAGCTGGTCCAGTTCACAGTCCATCAGTTAAGTATTAACCAACTCAGACTTCATCTATCACAACACTTAAGTTTAAAAAAAAACCCAAACAATAAAACCCCCCCCCCAAAAAAATTACACAGAAAATCTTTCAGGCTTTACTTCCTCAGCATCAAGCAGTAACTAAAACCTCTGAGGCATTTTGAGCATTTTGACTAACCAAAACTGTAGCACACGTGAACACTTTTCATCCCATCCCTGCTCAGTTTCAGTACAGTTTCAGCCAGGCAACCTCAATCCTCCTTCTACCCTCACAAAACCCCCTGTCCTACACCCAAAACTATGCAGAAAGTCGGTTCTGATTATGCTACAATCAATGCAGTAACCTTCCTCTTCCTCCCAGACATGGTCTTTGGGGAAAATGTTTGCAGGGAGGAGCTTGACAGCCTTAAGGCACTCAGCAGCTGCACAATGCAATCCAACTGTTTATTGCCTTCAACAGTCTCCTCTCTTAACACCCTCTCCTACCCTCTTACCAACTGCCTGTCCAGTCCACCTCCCTCAGTCTTCTGTCCTCCTTCTTTTCTGGTTCTCTTTACAGGATGAAATGAATGACAGCGCAGCATTAGCATGATGCTGCCACATCAGTTGCTCTGTTTGTGTTCCTAGACCTCTCCCCTCCTTTTCATCCATCCTATCCATCTAATACTTTGGGCAGAGATCACCCCTCCTTCCACGCTTGCTCAACACACACCTCATTTAATCCTCACTCCCATGTCCTCCTCCAAAAACCCCCAAAAGCAAGCACAATTCATACAACATAAAATTCTGCAGCTTATTTCAAGTCGGGTTTGCGATTTTTCAACTGGGTTAAAAAATTCTGATGGAAACCATAAAACAATGCTTTTCCTACCAAGCGAGCAGTTACTCTGCATCCTCCCATCTGTCGAGCAGCGGAGCATGGTGCCCACCACACGGCCTCCTACTACGATGACACGGACATCCTTGCCATGGGACTCTTTAACGTATTTTTGAAATAAGTAAGGGGCATCATGACGGATCAAATGGCTTAGGTCTGCCAAATGGTGCTTGTCTCGTGCCAGGAACACAGCTTTACCTGTACAAATAGAAGAAGAACATTGGAAGATTGGAAGAAGCCACAATTTGAGCTGCATCAACAATTCAGCACATCAAAGTAAAACCTCTGACCAGTACGCTGCCCATTCTCACAGGCCTCATCTGTAGCTTATACCCGTTTAACAAATTCTTCTGTGGACACCAGTGTCTACTGCTTCGGTGCTTATTAAGTGTTCAAGTACTGACACACTTGGGGAGCCATATGAGGAGTGAAAAAAAGAAAGGAGGAGGAAAAGAGGAGGGAAGGAGGGAAAGAAAGAGAGAAAATAAAGCTGCTTTAGATAGAGGAGGTGGTCTTGTCATTTCAACTCCTTTTGGTACAAGTCCTTAGGGGGAGAAAAAAAAAAAAAGGAAGAAATACTTAAAGAGCAGCAGACATTTAATTAATAGCACAGTTTTGTCCATCCAAGATGACCGGACCCGCAGCCTACAGCTTTGAAACACAGGCACCAGTGACACAAAGCTGTTAAACACCAGGGAACTGAGAATACTGAAGTCGGTGATGTGCCTCTGCAGAACTGCTTCACAACTTGGAAGTTGCGAAGAGCTGCTCTTCCCAGTAATTTCAAGAGCTCACAACTCCAGAATGAGGCCTTGCAGTGGAACAACGATGTTCAGAGGAAAACACTTAGATTCCACAGTATTCAAGATAAATTCAGCAGAAGATTCCACAAAACCTAAAACAAATGGAATGTACTGCAATTTTGAAAAAACAAAAGCAAACAAAAAAAAACAAACACAAAAACCTCTTTAGAAATCACTGATTTTTCTGAAAGCAAACATCTCAAGGACTTGTTTTGTTTAACCTAAACCACATCATTTCATTCCCCTTCATTTCTAAAGCACACCAAAGATGACTTTGTTCTTTTCAAATTTTAAAATACTGATGAAAGTCACTCCTGAAACGGACCCTACCACTTTCCACTTCATTTCTTGTCTCACAAGAAGGCATCCCTTTACCATCTTTAGCTACATTTCCCAACTCCTATCCCTCTTTCTTAAGCACTCTTATATGTCATATTATATTTATATTTTGCAGTAAGGCTGCACAAACTTTTTGGGGCAGAATCGTACCTCAATCAAGCTACAGTATTAACAGAATACAAAAATCAATTGATATATTGACTATCTTAATTACAGGAACAGAACTGCAGCAGTAGCAGAAGTAGGAGAAATAACATGTGAAAAAATTCAATCAAGTGCTCCAAAGGCCAACTGAAGCAGCCTCTGCTTCCTCAGGATTCAAGGTCTTCATAACACAGAACACTGCTTGAGGAACATGGAATCTCCTGTGCAAATAACCTCTGAATTTCATTTTAAACGTAGATTCCTTTGGTAGTTCACTGTCTAACATTAAACTAAATTGATGTATTTTTTCATATTCAACACTTAAAAGACTGCTACAAGAACAATCTAATCTGAACCTTCTGTATTATCATTGGCACCGTCAGAGATATTTCTCTGAAAAACAAAGATCCGGTTTGACAAACAATACATGGGATTTTATTTAAATCAGGATCCTAATTATAGAGAAAGTCAAGCAGAAAAAAAGTCAAATTAAGACTGAATGAACTAAGGTTTCATTTCTTATGCCTATATAGAAACACCTCTAAAATCCATGTAGGCTTCTCTCTACTTCTCTAAGGCCAGATCTTCCATTATTCCAGTTCAAAGCTTTCCTCATAGAAGTCACCAGTGCCCCGTAATTTTGAACCCCTATTGCCCCTGCTATTGCAAGACTAGGTTCTAATAAATCTACTTCCCAGTGTTGCAGCATACTCAACATTCAGAAGTTGGAGGGTGGTAGAATTTAGATGTACCGCAAAGAAGCCCAACACCTATTAGAAGACCTTCTTAACTATTAGCCCTTGACAAGGCAGAAATCTTAAAAAGAGTGCTGCTCAGAATACTCCTTGCCCTCACCCCTGACCTCACACCCACCTCGGTGACCCCGCGTGTTCTTCACCACCATAGGGAACTCCAGCACTTCCGCCTCATCAATCATTTTGGCAAAATTCTCATGACCACCTGGCAAAAAGAAAACCAACAACATTATGTGCCACCAATCTGGTGTGGCCAAATTGGGGATGTAATTGCTATACATTCCTCCCACCCTTACAGCTTAGATAATGCATAAAAACCTGTCAGTTAAGAGGAACTTGGTCACGGAGCATTTTCAGACTTAGAAGGTGTTTGCAATCTGTGGGATACTAACTCTTACTTCCTTTGAAATGGAAGACACAAGTTGACAAAGGCCTCTTGATCACAACCCCAAAAGGCTCAATCCAATCTTCCACATCTGAATGCCTCAATTCTACCATCTTGTTCCAGTTTACACCTTTTACTTTATCAACTCCCACCTTTTCAAGTGTCTAGCTGGAAAATAGCAGAGACGTAAGACCAGTAACAGTTCCATCCAAACTACAAACCAGGAAAGCAACATGAAATACAAAGAGAAGGCATAATCCAGAGAGCAGCAACAACCCAGATCTCGTCACTCCGCCTCCCCCTTTCCAAGGCTTAAGTATCCTACATCTCATTCTCCCTGTATCCTGAAGTAGTACTTCAACCTTTTCATCCCATTGCATCTGTAAGGACCTTAGAGAGCAGCTTTTAATGACCGTTGACGTGATTACGGTTGATACTTCAAGATTATTTGAGTTGAGTTCAGTTCACAGAAGGCTGACCACAGTACAAGAAATAGAGGAGGAAGTCAGCAGACAAAGGGATGAGACTCCTCTACCAGCATGTGCAGTAAAGCCCAGAAGTCAAGCCAAGACACTGGTCACAAAGCTGGCAGCAGACATCACTACCCTGCCATGGATTTTAATGCGTGTCTAGAATAACATGTCGTTCAGCACATCCTGTTTTTGTTGGCAAAGCCAGCTCTCACTGATAACTTGATGCTTGTGTTAAAAATAAAAATAAAATTTAAAAAAAAAAAAAAAAAAAGTCATGCTTCTGTCAAATTCCAGAGGCAGGCATTAAAACAAGCAGTGGGGAGTTACAAACAGAGACATTCTCCAATTACCCCATCATCCGTGGTCTCCCCTTCCCCAAAAAAATTAAAAACTCATTCCTTTCTCAGAGCCAGAGAAACCACATCTCAAAAGAAAGGATATGTTTCTTCTCAGATGTATTTTCATAGTAAATGATGGAAATACTTGACCCATACTTTTGTCCAGTTTGTGTTTTTGTCAGGTTCCCATTACAAAAGCCTACCAGTGCAACCACACAAAGGGAAGGAAAGGTCTAATACTTCCCAAGAAGGAAAAGAAGGCTGAGAGGTATCTTTTGTTCTGTAATATATTGTAATTAAAAGCAGAGATAGCATCAGAGTAGCTCAGACAAATGGTTCCTCTAATCTAGCACACTGTCAGGAACCAGTGTCCAGAAGCAAGCACAAGGAACATTAATAATTAACTGTTCTGGTGGGAAACAAATCCCAAACAATTGTTAAAAAAGTTGAACACGAGAGCCTGTACTCTTTTGGTCCTTTCACAATAACTAATATGTTTGCAGATATTTTTATTCATATAGAATTTTAACCTACTTTCAGGTTTCACCAAAGTCTAGATCTTTATAGTATCCTGTGATGTTTAGTTCCCCAAGTTCTTGTCTGTTCTTTCAGGGAATCAGAAAAGAGTTCAAAGTGCTTCAGTAATAACAAACAAAGTTAATTGCTTGGGAGGCTGAAGTACAATTAAAGTACTCTTCCCAAAGCAACACAGCTGATCAACAAAGCCAAAACCAGAATCTGAATGCTATGACTATAATCACGCTGCTTAATTTTATGGATTTCCAAAACTTAACTCTTATCTTTTGCACTTCAAAAGCACGAATTACTGTAGGCCACCCTACTATCCTTCTGATCCAAAAGCCTTACCATATGAAAAAGTGTCTGGAAGAGGCACACCATGACCAGCAAGTTCTTGAAACGTCCAGAACTTGTTGACACAGTTGAGGATGGCTTGGGGACGATTCATCAATCGACAGCCCATCTTCTCTAGGTGGCGAAGGACTGTGATATCACTGTCACTCTGGACCCAAGGTGTTGGTACACGCACAACCACCACTTGCGGGTAAGCAGTAATGAGCTCCCCATTCACCCGGAGACCTAAAGAAGGAAGAGAAAACCATTCCAATAAACTACAAGGTCTTCAGGAGAAGGTGCACAGACAAAGAAATACCGCGCTATGTGTGACCACAAAAGAGATACCAGACTTCAACAGTTAGCATCAAAACAGCACAACTCTCCCTAAAATGCATCTTGTCAGTTGTGCTGTTTCATAGGTGTCACTCTTAACCCACCTGAAATTAGGACTAGGCAATGAACAGACTGTATTAGGGCACAGAATCTTGGGCTACCTCCCAGGATGAAGGACTTACTTTATAGGTTGATATATCATCCTTTCTATGGGTGTTAGCTGCACACTACACTCACATCAGTGCTATCAACAGCTCAGGAGGTTCCTGCCTCCCACTGCTGTTTCTTGCCTACATGATCCAGTTCACACCTTTCCCAGCCCTAGTTGTATTAATCCATCTGTATTGTCACGTTACACAACATAATGCCAAAGTAACAGAGATTAGACACCTTAAAAAAAAAATCAAAACGAAACACAGCAGTATTTTTAACACAGATAATTTCAATGATCTGATTTATACTAAATAAGTACTCAGAAATAACTTTATCAGCTAACAGGGCAGCACCCCGTGACATTAAGGCAGGAATTAGAAGTAAAACCAGCTTTGCTACCAAGACCAATGTATTACTTAATAATGACCTACGATTTTACAGATTCTGTCTCCGAAAAATAAACACTGAAAGACAGGCTGCAGAAATGGGAATAAGACAGGGTTGGACAGGAAGGCATCACGATTGATGAAGACAGTCTGACATCTGAGGATGGGAAAAGACAAATAGGATTTGCTATTTGCTTTATTTGCCTTGCGTTCGAAGTAAAACTTTCTAACTTCAGTATAAAACACACAGCTCGCACCGCTGTCGGCACCTTAAGGGTTAAAAAAGAGAAAGAAGAGGAGCTGAGAAATCACAGTGCATCTGCATTTCTGTGCCTACAAAAGGCCAGCTGTAACTAGTCAGATCTAGCCCAAATTAATTACCTGATTAGCTCTATTCCAAAGATACTACTTTTCAAATGCGGACTTACATCTCCATCTGAAGACACGCAATTTATTTCATTTCAAGGCGCTTGTGAATTAATTGGAGGGAGTCCCCCTCTCTGTACCTCCTGTTTTCTTCTCCCAACGAGGACGTATTTGAGAGCTTGCCTTAAATATAGCGAAGCAACCACCTAACTCCCAAAATGGAAGCAGAAATGTGCTTCCCCGGTCCCTCAGGAGGACAGAGAGTCACAGTCTGGAAAGGCCAAATCAGAGCCATACCCAATACGGATCCCTTTTTTTTCCAATCCCCATCTTGCCATAATTGCAACGAGAGGAGAAAACATAAGCAGAGGGGTGCTCGGGCTGCTCACCTCATTAGCACCCAGCGCTGCCGCATTGCAGCTGACACCACTGGCGTGTGGAAGCCAGCAGGATTCACACACACACACACACACACACCATTTTATAAAGGCATCTCAAGGAAGATTAAAAACAAACCAGCAGGCTTCACACACACACACACACACACACACACACACCATTTGATAAAGGCATCTCAAGGAAGATTAAAAACAAGGCACTGCTAAAAAACCCAAGCAGAACGCGCACATCGGGAAACGACCAACTACCTCCTTTAGCCAGAAAAGGCATCCAGCTTCAGCAAGCAAAGGATTTTTAACTCATTAGGCAGATTCCACCTCACACATGTATTTTCTCATTTAGGTGCACGCCCAGTTACACCCACTTTTTGCCGCTGTGATTGCACGCGAGTCCTGATCCACATGCAAGCTGTGTAATAATCATTGCAAGAAGGACTGCATTTTCTACAGAGCCCCAGATTGCCACTGTTATCTCTGCTGTGAACCAAAACCACCCGATTTTCTAACTCCTATTAATTTCTAATTCTCAGGGTCTATTCTGTTGTTCTCCAAAGTCACGCCACGTGCTGAAGCTTTGCACCACGGAGTCTGAAAAACAGTAGTGTGAGGAGATGCACACCCCTCACCTGGAATTCTCCCAAATATCTGCATTAGACCGAACCCTCAGACTGATGGAGATTCAGCCCAGGCCACCATTTCCCCTGGAGTGACTTTGGAAGTACAACGACGTTATCAACAGAACAAATCTCAGCTTTTGTTCCAGTTTCAACCATTTTCTCTGGTCTGGATACTGTTCTCCCCAGAAGAACAAAAAAAAAAAAAATTAAAAATAATAGGAATCTCTTCCCTCACAGAAGACTGTTTACAAACAAAGAGAAGAGCTACTCAATGAAATGTATAATTTGAATCACTACTACTGACATGCGCCATAAAAATTAGCTGCAGTCTCCCAGCAACCCAGCACTGCAAACAGAAGCAGCTTTATTACAGCAAAAAGGAAAGCCAGATTCTGCCATTTTGGAGCAAGCTTGTGTTCAGCATTCCACCCGAGACCCTGCAGTTAACCATCAGGTTAACGGTCTTTATTGCCAAGTGGGCTGATAAAATCACATTTATTCACTACAGTGTGCTGAAAGCAGCAACAAAGAAATTCATACCATTATTTTTTTTTCCAAAGAACCGATATACAAATGCAAAGAGGGAGAAAGGAAAGCAATCCAGATGTTACAGAGATATTACTCAAAGAATGGTTAAGAGTTAATCAATTTTTTTTTTTTTAAATGGACAGGAATTCTCTTTTTCTTTGCAGTAACAGTACCACCCTGGTCCCAGACCGGTAGCAGTGAGTTACATTCCCAGTGGCCTGTGGACAATGAATCAATCTCACAAACAGACAGAGGGCAGACGTTCAGATCACAGAGAAATACCTTGACAAATAACAAATTGGTCCATTTGTTGGCTTTCTCAATAGATTCCCATGGCGTCACACAAATGGCAAACAGACAGCTAGACTGTCCTCTAAAGCACCAACACTGAGAGCCACCAAAACAGAGATTTCATGCTTCTCTAATACTATGAACTTTTCCAACATATAACAACCATTTTACCAGTGCCTGGGGAACAACTTCTTAAGTTATCATAAAACTTTTTGGGGATTCTTTGGCCCCGTGTGATATAACTTCTGAGTTGAGATATCACACTATAAAACCAGATGTAAATCCTGCACTTGAACAAGACTTGTTCTTTCCCCTAATACCAGCTTGCTTTGTTCTTCCTCTGCAAGGTGAAACTCTCCATAATGAAACATTGTAGACCATTAACATTATACAGCAAACGTCACAGTATTCACAGAATCACATCAGATTGGAAGGGACCTCTGGAGATCACCCCAGCCAATCCCCCTCCCAGAGCAGGTCCACCCAGAGCAGGTTGCACAGGAACGTGTCCAGGTGGGTTTGGAATGTCTCCAGAGAAGGAGACTCCACCACCTCCCTGGGCAGCCTCTGCCAGGGCTCTGCCACCCTCACAGGAAAGGAGTTCCTCCTCATGTTTAGGTGGAACTTCTTATATTCAAGTTTGTGCCCATTTCCTCTTGTCCTGTCCCTGAGCACCACTGAAAAAAGACTGAATTCAGATGAAAGTGCAAAAGGACTTTTTGCAATGCGAACTGTAATCACCTGGGAATGAATCTGATCAGTTACACTACCACATCCCTCAAAGAATGCTGAAAAGTCTCAAGTTTATCTCAAAGACAGCTCAAAGCAGCACATGATAGAACTGAGTGGGTAAATGTATGACTCCTCGTTGGTTGACCCAACTGGTCCTGCTGCTTGTCATTCCCAGCAGGTGAGCTCTGACCTCTACTAAAAAGACTTATTTGGACCTAAACAGATTAGAAGCTATCTCATGAACCTGTGAAGTCCACAGAAAATGGATGCAGCATTAAATTCTACTGAAGATGGAAGAAGAGGCAGAAACTCCTACTGCTGTTACCAGTAGGATGGGAAGACACATATCGATACCCTAAGAAAGTTCTTGAGACATTACCATCTAAAATTGCAGAACAAATTTGCATAGCAAGATATTCAGATATTCTCAATAAATTGGGGTCAATGCACATACTTTGGAAACAGCCTAAAATTCTGGAACTTCCCAGCCTTCATTCACACATGTGGGGTTTTTTAGTACCTTCTTCCCTGTAACAAATTTATTTCACGACTACAATTTTTCAATTAAAAAGCCTAAGTCTTAAAAGAGCTATCATTTAGGTGGCACACATTTCAAATGAAGTGCCTCAGAACAAGACATACAACCAGAACTGAGTCAATGAGTTGCTGCCTGTCAGGTATGACTCCTAAGTTGACTATGAGTTTCTTCCCACCCTACAGGAAAACACAAGGCAAAAAGCTTGACCGTAAGCCTCTGTGATGGGAGTCTACAACAATAAATCTCACTACACAACTGGGAGAAGCTAAACGTCTGCATATAGGTGTTGTAACACCATCCCGTAAAGCCTGCAAGGCAAACACACTTCTTGACACAAATCAATCACAGCCACAGCCTGAGGACATCAATTCTTCAACTGCAGGCTCACACCTACTGCAATCCTTCATCTACCCAGTTATACTACTTTCTCGTGCTTTAGAAACTCTAAGCAGCACTTCTGCATTGACAGATTTCTGTCTCTTCTAAACACCTTAATTCACACCCAAGCAGCATTTTAAATTGCTAGACATTTTTGAAAATCGTTCTATTCAGTTTGTACTCTACACAAATCCCTTCCAATCTCTTCAAGAATCAGTTCATCAGCAGATTAATAGCTACTGCAAAGCAATATCTCATGTGTCCAGTTTGCATGTCATGAACAATTGTCCTTTATGCTGAAAGAATGCAAATGTTTCACCAGAAGGAAGTCAGTTTCAGGAAATAGGTCTAAAGCCTCAATGATCTGCAAGGATATCAAAGATAATTACAGAGCTTTTATACCTCTCATTATAGCAACATCAGGCATGTTTAACAAAAAATAAATCTCAGTAATATCAAATAAATTGATACAAGCATTTTCATTCCAAATTATAATTTTGGAAAATGGTCAAAAAGAAAGCAA